CTGGCTGAGTACATTCGAGTACTCAGGGTTTATCCCACCTTGTTGCAGGTGATGTTCTCGACCTGTTGATGATGGTGGCTAACCACCGGTGGGCTCGGTGATTCTATACTTACTTCTCATCTATATGCTTTTGTCGGATGATGTCACTATGCTAGCAATATATTTGGAACTTATATTAATGTAATCATTTGAAAGCTATGTTGTTTTCACTAAGCGGTTTTGAAACCCAAACTTGTACTATTAATTGTTAACCCCTTTGTAATATTATTTCCGCTGCAACCCGATGTATGTGATGTGTATTTGCTTAATCACGCGATCTTGGTTGTGATGTTGATTTACCGAGGTCTTTTGGGACACTCGGCGGACTACCGGGTTTATATGAGTGAAAGTATGGGTGTGTCAACGTGTTAGCGGGGACAACCGTACTTGATCTTGTATAAATTGGGCGGTTCTGTCACAATTGCCCCTCCTTAAGAGGGTGTAGCCCCATTAGCGGCGCCTCTCAAGTACAATGCCTTATTCATCATAAGGAACCACATCCATCCGGATCTCAAAGCTAAGTATCTGATGGAGGAAGACCCACGCGCTCTGTGGCTTGCTCTTCAAACACGGTATGAATAGCAAAAGGCAGTCATCCTGCCGGAAGCTATAAGTGAGTGGAACCATCTTCGTCTACAAGATTTTAAATCTGTGGGAGAGTTAAACCATGCTGTTCATAAAACTCAGTGCTAAACTGAAGTTTTGCGAAAAGGAGCCAACTGATGCGGAGAAAATTGAGAAGACATTGTCTACCATGCTTCCCGCTCAGATGATCCTACAACAACAATACCGTGAAAGAGGTTTCACTGTTTATTCTGAGTTGATTAAGACATTACTTCAGGCAGAAAGGCATAATGAGCTCCTACTTTGGAACTCCAACCTACTTCCCGTGGGCACTAAGCCTTTGCCAGAAGTACATGCTAACACTTAGATACCTTGCTACCTTATGTTGTTAGTGTGGATGTTGTGATAGGCTAGTTGTTGTCCGTACTTGATAAAGCACAATGGGTATTGTAATTTGTATTATGCACAATTGATACCTATATGTATTGTATGTATTCTATGAATATTTGTTGAGAATTACATGTTCAAATTCTCCATTTTGTATAGATTGTACGGGAGTCGACCTGATGGATGAGGAAATGTGCCTAGTGGACAGTGGTACCACTAACTCTATACTCAGGAAGATAAAATATTTCCAAACTCTTACAAAGAACAAATGAAATGTTTTAACAATCGTTGGACGCGATGCTGTAATAGTTGGCACCGGTCGGGCCACTATTATGCTCCCTATGGGTACATCGGTAACAATTGAGGATGCATTACTGTATCCCAATTCAACGCGTACCCTATTGAGTTATAGAGATATCCGTAAGAATGGGTTCCATGTGGAAACTCATGTGGACAACAATGAGTTTCTTCTCATTACAAAAGAACACGGATATGGTAAAGAGACACTTGAAAAAGTTCCCTCACTCCCATCTAGATTGTACTACACATACATCAAACACGTACCACATGTTTCTTACAAAGTAATTTTCTAGAATGTTAACGCATTCCAAACTTGGCATGATCGCCTTGGCCATCCTGGCATCGGGATGATGAGGAAAATTATAAGCAATTCTGTTGGTCACACTTTAAGTGATGTAAAATTTCCTCAATCCTTAGATTTTGTGTGCACCACATGTGCCACGGGGAAATTAATTTTGATGCCCTCTTACCTTAAAATTCATGCTGAACCTCTAAGGTTCCTTGAACGCATTCAAGGTGACATATGTGGTCCCATTCAACCATTGTCGGAGCTGTTCAGGTATTTCATGGTTCTCATAGACGCATCTACAAGATGGTCTCATGTGAGTCTCCTCTCCAAGAGGAACCATGTATTTGCTAAGATTGTTGCACAAGTTATAAAATTTAAAGCACAATATCCTGGACATCAAATCTGATCTATCCTAATGGATAATGCTGCTGAATTTTCCTCACGTGCCTTCAATGATTATTGCATGGCCTTAGGGATTCAAGTTCAGCACTCGGTCCCATATGTTCATACTCAAAATGGGTTGACAGAATCTCTCATCAAGAGAGTGAAACTTATTGCAAGACTATTACTACAGAATTGTAATCTACCAACATCTTATTGGGGTCACGTAGTCTTACACGCCATTGACTTGATTCAATTGTGTCCAACTGCATACCATGCAACCTCCCCGTTGCAACTTGTACGTGGAAATACACCAAATATTTCCCATCTGTGAAAGCTTCGGTTGCGTTGTATACGTATCGATCTCACCACCGCAGCGTACATCTATGGGTCCACACAAAAATTAGGGATCTACGTGGGATATCAATCTTCGTCGATCATTAAATACCTGGAACCCCTTACAGGGGATGTATTTACTGCCCGATACGCTAATTGTATCTTCAATGAAGATCATTTCCCGGTATTAGAGGGAGAAACTGAAAACCACAAACAATGCTAGGAAATCAATTGGGATGCCACAAACATCTCCACTTTAGATCCACGTACATCTGAAACTGAACTTCAAGTTCAGAGGATCATCAATTTGCAACACATTGCAAATAACATGCCAAATGCATTTGTTGATTACAAGGGTGTCACAAAATCCTACAATCCTACGAGAAATGTGCCGGAAAGAGTAGAGGTACCAAACAAAACTACTCAACTCCTAAGTAAGAGGAGGAGAAGTACGACTATTTCCACGGATGTAGATTCTAGCAAGCAAAGGAAAGGGAAGAACAAAGTTCCCAACACAGCAAATGCAAGTCAACCTCATGTTGAGAGACACCCTGTGGAGGTTCGATCTTCACATCCCACATCTACAATGCACTCAATTACTGATGTTGGGACATCATAACACCTGATGTAATCATATTGAGAAATAATGATACATCACAAAGGGTGCGTAAAATTTCGATCAACTACATTGAATCTGGAGAATCATATGATAAAAGTCTACAATTGTCGACATTTATTTCGTTGAAGCAATTGTAGAAATCATCCAAAATGATCCAGATCCTAAGACCATGGCAGAGCGCAGAAAGCGCTCGGACTAGAATCAATGGAAAGATGCAATTCAAGCGAAATTGTCCTTGCTCTCCCAAAGAAAGGTATTCACTCATGCAATACCTACACCTCGTGGAATCTTTCCTGTGGGATTCATATGGGTTTTCATCCGGAAATGGAATGAGAACAACAAGGTTGTGAGACATAAAGCGAGGCTTATAGCACAAGGGTTCACGTAGACACCCGGCATTGATTTCAATGAAACATATTCTCCAGTTATGAGTGGAATAACATTCTGATATCTTATATCTCTGGCTGTTCAAAATCGTCTATCTATGCACTTGATGGACGTAGTGACCGCATATCTATATGGGCCACTTGATTCGGATATATATATGAAGGTTTCCGATGGAATCTCTATACCGGATCAGAACGCAAATCGTAACATATACTGTGTAAAGCTTCAAAAGTTATTCTATGGCTTAAAGTAGTCGGGAAGAATGTGGTATAACCGACTTAGTGAGTTCCTTCTGCAGAAAGGATACACTAACAATGATGATTGTTCATGTGTCTTCATCAAAAAGTCACAAACGGAATTTTGCATAATATCAGTGTATGTTGATGATTTAAATATCATTGGCAGCCCACAAGATATTAATGAAGCACGTAATCATCTAAAGACGGAGTTCGAAATGAAAGATTTGGGTCAAACCAAATTTTGCTTAGGTTTACAACTTGAACACCTTTCCACTGAAATTTAGTGCATCAATCTGCCTATATACATAAAGTATTGGAGAAATTCGATATGGACAAATCATATCCCTCTAAAACTCCTATGGTTGTTCGTTTTTTAGAGCTAAAGACTGATCAATTCAGACCATATGATGAAGGAGAAGAGATTATGGGACCTCATTACCCATATCTCAGTGCCATTGGAGCGCTCATGCATCTTGCAAATTGCACCAGGCCTGATATTGCATTTGTAGTGAACTTTCTAGCTCGACATAGCGCTGCTCCTACCAAATATCATTGGACGGGAGTAAAACATATCCTCATATATGTAAATAGTACAAGAGATCTTGGATTATTTATCTGGAGGAACCATACTCCAATATGATTGGATACACCGATGCCGGCTATTTATCTGATCTCCATAATGGCCGATCCTAGACAGGCTTTGTGTTCTTACACGGAGGGACAGCCATTTCATGGAAGTCTTCAAAACAGACTCTTGTGTCTACCTTCACTAATCACTCTAAAATAATTACACTATATGAGGCCTCAAGTGAATGTGTTTGGCTTCGCAGAGTGATCAACCACATACAACAGTCATATGGTATTGGTGACATTGATTCGACAACCATTACCTATGAAGATAATTCTGCTTGTGTTACACAGATGGATACATGCTACATCAAAAACAACATAACCAAGCATATTTCTCCCAAGTTGTTTTATCCCCATGAGTTAAAACAAATGGGCGAAATAGACATCTTGCAAACCAAATCATGTGATAAAATTATGCAGCTAAAAAAAACTTGTTACAATTTGTAACGAGAGAGCAGTATTTATAAGCGTTTGTTGGTAAATCTAAAAGCCTAGTTTAAGCATTTAGATGCTACAATGAAAACTATAGTATCCTTGCTTTTGTACGCGAAAGTTTCTACGATGTGCTAACCCGGCCCTCCTAGAATCGGACTCCCGAATTACCGATGGTGGCATTTCTAGGCTGCTAGTGCCGGCTGCCTGGTGGAGTGGTGACCCTCCGTAGACCGTAGTCCTTAAGGTCAGACACCCATGTGCAGGTGGAGGTTGGCTTCGATTCAGCAGGAGGAGAAGTCGATTCTAGAGATGCTAGCTCCGATTCCGACTAGGGTTAGCTGCGTGCTATGGAGAGTCATGTCTTAAGATGCATCTAAACCATATACGTTGTACATCACGTAACAAAATGTTGTGCCAAAATGCGGCCCCGTCTTAAAGTGAACTTTTCGCTTGTACATATATATGGTCCACACATAGGAGAAATTGTTGCCAAAATGCGCGACGGGCCCCCTTCCGACAGCGCCTCGGCCGCTCGGTCCCTCGCCGCCGCCGCGCGCTCCCTGAGCGCCCGCGCGCCGTCTGAGTCCTTCATCACCCACCTCACCTTAGCCTCCACCGCTTCAGCCGTCTCCACGTCGTCGTCGTCCCTCCTCCTCATCTCCACCACTAGCTTCATCTCCTCCACGATCCGCACCTTGTTCATCTTCTGCTCCGCGTACAGCGGCCAACACAGCAGCGGCAGCCCCGCCACGACGCCCTCCAGCGTCGAGTTCCACCCGCAGTGCGTCACGAACGCGCCGGCCGCCCTGTGGCGCAGCACGTCCACCTGCGGCGCCCAGTTCTTGACGACGAGCCCCTGTCCTCGTTGTGCTCATGGAACCCGGCCGGGAGCAGCGCGCCCACGTCGTCGGCGGGTGCTTCGCCGGGAGGGCTCCGCACGACCCAGAGGAACCTCTGCCCGGACCTCTCCACACCCACGGCGATCTTTTCCAGCTGCTTCTTGGGGAACGTGCCCAGGCTCCCGAAGCAGAGGAACACGACGCTGCGGTCCGGCTGCGCGTCCAGCCAGCGGAGGCAGTCGTGGTCCGTGTCGCCGCCGGGCGAGACCAGCGGCCCGACGCAGTAGACCGGCGGCGTGGGGCGCTCCGGCAAGCACAGTCCGTCCCTGAGCGCCCTCATCGCGCGCGGCTCCAGCGACTCGAAGGAGTTGATGAGCCAGCGGCCCGACGCAGTAGACCGGCGGCGTGGGGCGCTCCGGCAAGCACAGTCCGTCCCTGAGCGCCCTCATCGCGCGCGGCTCCAGCGACTCGAAGGAGTTGATGAGGATGCCGCGGGCGTCCGGCATCCGGGCAGCCACGCCGATGATGCCCTTGCACGCCTCACCGTCGTCCGCCAGCCCCTGCGCCAGGTCCGCGACTCTCAGCGGAGGAACGCCCGGGAACGACAGGACGGCGGACTCGCCGAGCGCCGCGAAGCTCGTGCCCACGCGGGCGCGCATGGCGGGGAGGCCGAGGAAGCAGGCGAGGCCGGCGGCGCCCGAGGGGAAGAAGAAGTAGGCGGGCAGGCCGAGCTCGTCCGCAACGTCGAGCGCGTCGGCGCAGAACATGTCGAGGACGATCGCCTGCACGCGGCGCGACGCCGTCGACAGCGCGCGGAGGAAGTCGCGGAGCGGCGCGTTTGTGGCGCGGAGGAAGCGGAGCATCCAGGCCAAGGGGTCCTCAGGCTCGGCGTCGTCGCCGGACTCGCCGCCGTCGGATGCCGGCGGGGGAAGCACGTGCAAGACGACGGAGGTGTTGGAGGCCTTGGCGCGCGCGACCGTGGCGGCGAAGCCGTTCGCGTAGACGGGCGGCTCGAAGACCACGATGGCAACGTCGACCTGCTGGTCTCCGGCGTGGAGGAGGAACGCCCTGGCCAGCTCGAGCATCGGCGCGAGGTGGCCGACGCCGACGCCCGGGTACAGCACCACCGTCTTCTTCTCCATGGCTCGGCTGACGACGACTCACTCAATTGCTAGCTGCGCACCAGCACGCAGCACTGCCCGCATCTTTCTGGAGTCTGGTTCTGGGACAGCATCGGAGTATGCAAACGGCGACACGAGCATGCTGCCACAGTGCTACTACGGTCATTCTGGAGTCTGCAGTAGCAGCCTAGTGTTGACAAACATGTCATGCATGATGTCACTGAGGATAATGAAGGGAAGGGATGAAGCAGAGACACGAAAACTTACAACTCCTTGTTTTTAATAAAAAAATAAACAAATTTTGAGTGGCCATGAGATTTAGTACCTATTCTACTTATTTATATCTGAAAAAATTGAAGGGCTTGTCTATAGCCCAGAAGGATGTTTCTGGCCCAGCCAGCATGGCACCATATTCTTTTTTTTTTCTTTTTTATATTTTCAAATTCAGCATCCTTTCCGTGTACGTTCTCCAACTGATCGACGTCCAATCCAAATACCATAGGACCCTATCCCAAATCAAACTTTCCATATGCCGCGTGGTCACAATGCTTATTTCAGCTATAGAACATTTTTCCTGATTTGAGATTTGTTATCGAGTATCCAGATTGGAATTCTTTACTCCCACATGTTCAAGGTGTACACTTTTTAAACACTTCTCCTATATTTCAAGTGTCTAAATTTTAAGATAATTTTAGACAACACTCTTGTACAATCAACTAGTACAAGTAAATTGTTACTTTTATGATTTGTTATTTGTCTTTGTATCATAATATATCAAATATTTTGTCCTTATCTAACTATAGAAAAAAAATGTGAATTATTAATTGTCTTTGTGTCAACATATATTATATTTTTGTCAGGTTTGTGGTTTTATCAATCGGATTTTCTATGCTTGAAATAAAAAATTATAGATTATGCCTACATGAATTGCAACAAGCTAAAGTTGTAATTTTAGTATAAAATATATGCAATAATTATCGTCTGAAAGAAAGCTAAAATTCAGGCACACCAGTCCTTTTTTTAAAGAAAGGTAGGGAAAAACACTAAATCTTCATATCAAACAACAGACGAGAAAAGTCAAACCAAGTTTACCACAAACCCGTGCGGTCATGCCCCAACAGTGTTTTTAGCGAGGCATCTATAAACATTAAACCCTAATGCTTCTTACCACACACGTGTGTGGAGAGGCTTTAGCATGCACGCACTAGAAGACAAAAAAATTGCATACGAACTCACCTGACGACTGCCGCTGCCAAAGATGAAGCAGGCCTTGGCGTTAGGGTTAGGATTTTTGGGGTTTCCATGCTCTCTGAGCATAGAAGGGAGATTCCGGGGAGGACGCTGGATAGGCGGCGGCGCCACCCACCGGTTGGATGGTGTCGGAGGAAGGGGCGACGGCCAAAGAAGGAGGAGGAGGAGGAGGAGGCAATGGCGCACCATCGAAGCATGGGAGGGGGTCGAGGCAGGGGTGCTCGCGCCAGATCTAAAGCAGAGGGCTCAGGTTAGGGTTGGCTATGGTCGAGTGCGGCGGCGGAGGTGACGTGGACGTCATTGGAGCTGGGCGGGGTGCGGAGGTGGGGGGAGGGAGCGTGGGAGGAAGAAGAGAAGGTGCGTGAGGAAGAAGATATCTAAAGGGTGTGCAAGGAAGAAAAAGGTGTGCGGGCGAAAGGAGAAATGTGCAGGCGGTGTTTTTTGTGCCTGCACACACAGGCTGTAGTAAAGTCCAACATTAAAAGGAACCAACTAAGACTCCTATAGCAGAACAAATGGATCAAATGCACTCACTCTAGACACCAACCTCATGCGACTTGCGGCTAATGATGGCAGACCACGCATGTATGGTGGGGTATTCTCATGTTTTAATTTTCCCTATTTTTTACCAGATTTGTGATTTTTTATAACAATTTGTAGAGACGGCTCGAAATTTAGTTGCCTCTGAAAATCAATTTCTAGAGGTGGCTCCTGTTTCCCGCCGCCTATAGAAATCCGATTTTTTGAGGTGGTTGGACACAACCTCCTCTACAAATCGGTGATTTTATACGTAGAAAAGCAGAGGTGGCGCTTTTTTAGTAGTGCACGTCCATGCCTTCCGAGGCCTCCAAGGTCCACGTCTTGCCTAGGTTTAGGCACACTCTACCGCCCGGTGGGAAGGATGCTGGCCACATCGTGTAGTTGCAGCGGTTGGTGACGGAGAAGGTGACGGCACCGGTAGCAGAAGCAATGGCGGAAGGCGAGGAGGAGGATGGAGTAGCTGGCCAGAGATGTCATCATTGTTGGTTTGCTAGCTAGCATTGCACTGTGTCATCGGTCTGTGTGTTTCTTTGGTATTTATACAGATGGACGCACCATGCAGGTTGGTGCCAGGGGCGGATCTGCCATCGGGGCTGGGGGACGCTTGCGCCCCCCAACCCTGGCCATGCCTGTAGAGCCCCCCTTAGCCCCCCACGAAAATCTCAAAGCCCCTCTCGGCGCCGACCTCATCACATCGCAGCCGACCTCGTTGCCGACCCTGGCCGGCGGAGGGATCGACATCCACATGTCTCTCATCTCCGAGTGCCGGTGCTTGTTCACCCTGCCCACTTCCTGCACCACATGGACGATGCTGGTCATTGGCACCACGCTGCCTCCCACGGCCGGTGCCAGCGTGCCTCCGCCTCCAGGTCATGGATTTGACCTAGACCCTTGTCGACCCTCCCATGGTAGGTGCAGAGGCGATGATTACCCCTGCTCTAACACAGACTGCACCAGAGACCATAGAAATCGCTGCTGGCACATTGATGTTTAAGGAGCTCAGCAGGTTTCCCATGTCTCATAGGCAGAAGGAAGGAGAAAGTTGAGTGTAGAAGCAGAGCGGATCTGCCACCAGGGCTGGGGGAGCTCGTGCCCCCTACCCTGGCCGCGCAGATGAAACACTCGGTTGAAGATGAGTCGTCGAGTCTTGACGACTTGGGCTATTTCTCTGTCTATTTTTCCAAGAACAAATAGCGAAATGAGGCCCAGTAAAAGATAGACATAGACAGATGGGCCTTTCTTCTTTCCATCTTTCTCCTGCCTCGCTCGACTCTCTAGTTGAAAGCCCTAGTTTGGTTTTGGAAAATTGATAAAACCTATGCACTAACCTTTGTCATGAGATGTAATATGAGCTAGGTTGGTGCAATCCAAGTGAGGAGCATGGTGGCACTCAAATGGTGATGTTGATCACATGAAATGATGAAGATGGACACATGTGATGATGATCAAGTGCTCAACTTGGAAAAGAAGAAAGAGAAACAAAACCCTATGGAGCTCAAGGCAAAGGTATAAATAGGGGCTTTGTTTCGATGATCAAGACACTATAGAGAATGTTATCACGTTTAGGGTAGATGGTCGTACAATTAAGAGGGGTTCTTTAATAGACAATTCGATCATCTAGTGCCACTAGGTGTTGGACTTCATGCATTGCATTTAGGCCTAGTGCACATCGGAGAGCAAGCAAAAATATTTATTGAAATTTTTTGAGAAATGCTAACTTGACTCTAACATGTTTTGGGAAAACACTTCGAGGGTTAGCAACACTTGCAAAAAAAAGTGTTAGACTGCTTGTGGATCGAATCAAGAATAAAAAACGCAGCTAATGGAGGTGTTTTCCTTGGGGTGGTCACCGCCCTGGGTGTGGCGGTGCACCGCCCTGGCCTGTCTGGTGACCGGCTAACTGTGGCCGAGAGCAGCAACTTTCGGGTGGTCACCACCCCTACCGGTGTAAACCGCCATAGGCATGGCGGTGCACCGTCGAAGGGCATCTGGTGCCACCATCACTTTTCGACAGAAAGCAGAGGCAACCGAGGGGGGCACTACTATGGTCACCACCATGGGCGCGGCGGTGCACTACGCCTTTTATCCAAAGAGCAGGGAAAATCGGAGGCTCGGTTGGGTGGTCACTACCAACCCATGGTGGTGCCACCACCACCCTGTCCGGTGCCCACCTTTGGAATTTGACTGTTGGGGAGTTCACCGCCATGTTCGGTGCCAAGCACCGCCCTGTCTGGTAATGTAACACCCTCGGTGTTACATTGTACTGCTTTTTCCTAAAATATTGCATGAACATTCTACTTGTGTGTACATGTATGTAATATATGGTATCAATCAATTTATGGAACTTGAAACGTTTATTTGAAACACGAAATGAATGTTACATTGCATGTCACGTTATATTACTTGATGTCTTGAACCAATTTTTATTAAACAAAAAGGCTAATGAACGCATGCATGTGAATTTGCTTTCGCTTTCATGTTTGCACGCAAAGCCACGCAAAGTTGTCGTCATGTTGTCTTGGACGGTGGCCGACCACACCATTGTGCTGGCCCATCCTTATTTTCGTGCATGTGTGAAGGACGAATGGGAGTACAGATCGGTGCCTAACTCGTCACTGTGCGGTAGTACGATGTCGGGGAGGCAATTCAACTTTTTGTCATCGTCGGCTGCTTTAAGTTTGGAATGGCGTCGTCTCTGCATTTTGGTCTAGCAGCACTCCACCATTTTCCAGTAGCCATACTCACATCGTGCTCTTCTACATCACGCTAGTAGCAGCGTCGGCGAACTTCACCGCACCACGCTCAGGCTAGCAAGCAGAGCAGCCGGAGGTGCGTACTGTTGTTATTAGCTTGTTGACGTCAGGATGACGTCATTCCGGCGTCACACGTGTTTTAGGGCCATTTTCGTGTACAAAAAGAAATCGGTGAATACACTGGAATACGCCGCGGCCTGCTCTATTCGCTAGGCTTGCTCGCGCCGCGGACTGCGCTGCTTGCGCTTGCGTCCGCGCCGCATCCGCCTGGGCCAAGCATCACCCGAGCCCTCACCGTGCTGGGCGTCCGCGTCGTGCCTAGGCCAGCCGCGCCCACGCCTCCGTTGTTGGGCCAGCTCGCGCTAGCGCCCGCGCTGCCGCGCTGGGCCGGCCTGCCCGCGCCGCGCTCGCGCGCGCTTGCTGCTTCTAGGCTGCGCTGCAAGGCTGGGCCACGCTGCTGCGCGCTAGAACGAGTTG